CTCCAGATATTCCAGGGCTGATCTGCTCCCGAGTTTTCCAAACTCCAGATATTCCAGGGCTGATCTGCTCCCGAGTGTTCTGAGCTCCAAATATTCCAGGAGTGTTCCGAACTTGCCTCAATTCACGTGCCAGCTGCAGTTTTGGCCACAGCAAAGCCTCTTCCAGGTTTTTTTTTGGGGGGGGGAGTAAACACCTGGATCAGTGGAAAAAGGAGCCCTGGATAATCTGTGGGATCCCTGGTGAGTGGGATTGTCCTTCAAGGATGATGAGAAAAGGATCAGGAGATGGGACAGGGAGGAGATTGTTATGGATGCTCCATCCCTGGAAGTGTCCAAGGGCAGTTTGGATTCCCTTGGAGCAACCTGGGATAGCAGAAGGTGTCGGGGTTGGAACTGGGTGATCCGTAAGGTCCCTTCCCTCCCAAACCATTCCGTGACGCTGGAGAACATTTCCTGGGAAACAGCTTCGTGTTCCCCTCCTCTGAGTAACCCTGGCGGAAAACGGGAATAAAATTCCGTTTTTCTTTAAAAGGTTGGGAATATTTTTGCTTCTTGAGAAGCGGAGCACCGGAGAGGATTTGGGATACTTGGAAATCACAAGTTTGGGATTGAAGGAGAGTTTTGAGGCTCCACACCTTCAGCTCTTTGCTAGAAAACCCTGGATTGGGGATTGAAGGAGTTCTGGATCATCCTTGGAATCGCCCTCCAGCCTCCTGAGCAATCCCGGCTCCGTTTAAATCCATCCTGGATTGGATGGGAAGGCCAAGAGAGGCAGAGCCTTCGGGATGGGGCTGATCCGCCAACTTGAGAAAGGAAAACGAGGAAACCACACCAAATAAACGGGATTAAAACAAGGAAATCACAGAAACGGGAATAAAACAAGGAAACCACTCCACAGAAACGGGAATAAAACAAGGAAACCACTCCACAGAAACAGGAATAAAACAAGGAAATGACACTACATAAAAAGGAATAAAACAAGGAAACCACCCCGCAAATACAGGAGTAAAACAAGGAAATCACTCCACATAAACAGGAATTAAAGTGAAGGAACCACACCAAATAAACAGGAATAAAACAAGGAAACTATTCCACAAAAACAGGAATAAAAGTGAAGGAACCACACCACAAAAACGGGAATAAAACAAGGAAACCACTCCACATAAACAGAAATTAAAGTGATGGAACCACACCAAATAAACAGGAATAAAACAAGGAAACCACA